ATCAAGAAATTCTTACACTTAACAGTTTTAAACTGCACAACTTTTCTCATACACCATCTCTTATTTCTACTTTATCTAACTTAGTTTCTATTGACCTTATTTCTACTATTCACAATACTTCTATTCCTTACTGTACAGCTATCTTACTTTCTATTAAATTTTTTTTTATTTAAACCAACAAATTTATAAACAAATATAGATCCTATATTGTATTTCATGATCAGCTCAGTTTTCTATTATATCTTCTACAAACTTAAACTTATAATTCTCCTTCTAATTTACTATTACCTCCTATTTCAATACCACAAATTATCACTAAAATTGATCTTTGGACTATTCAATAGATTAAATATCATATCTCTCTCTCATATATTATTACTAACACCCAAATCTAGGTGAGCTTTGATCACTCTTGTAGGTTTAAGTCACAGATTATATATCTGAGTCTTTATTCTTTTTATGTAATTTAAAAGCAAGCTTTTCTTTGTAAAAACTTCAATTGAATTTCAATAAAGATTAATATTTAAAAAAAAAAAAACTATTTAAAATTCAATCAAAAACAGCTTCATACTAAGCTTTATAGTAGTCTTCAAGATGCTTTATCTATTCAGAATAATATGTCTTATAATGTAGAAATTACAAATATAAGCAAATGAGTTATTCTTTCTTTTAGCTTTACTGATGACTCATATCAGATGCAACAACTATATCAGGACATAATGGCTATAGTGCATATACTTGGCAAATCAGATCTTTTTATTACCTTTATATATAATCAAATCTGATCTGAAATTACCAATAAGCTTCTCAATAATTAGCATGCATCAGATCATTCTGATCTTATAGCTAGAGTCTTTAATATAAAATTAAAGGCATTAATAAATAACATTTTAAAAAATCGAATATTTGGTGTAGTTTTAGCTTATATTTATGTAATTGAATTTCAGAAATATGGTCTTCCTCACTTGCATATTCTTTTAATTTTAGATCTCAATAGTAAACCAAAAACTGTTGATGATTATGATGCCATTGTATTAGCAAAAATCCCTAATAAAGACCTTCATCCTAAAGCCTTTAATACTATTCATCAAACTATAATGCATGATTCTTGTGGTTCAGCTTATCCAAATGCTCTTTGTATAAAAGATAAAAAATGCTCAAAAAGATATTCATATCCCTTTTGTGTTACTACAAAATATATATGCAGATGGTTACCCTGTCTATCAACAACATAATGATAACAACTCAATAATGAGTTATACTTCATAACTTATATTTAGTCACAAAATATGATGTACATATTAATCTAGAAATATGTTCTTTAATTGCTACAGTTAAATACCTTTTTAAATATATATATAAAGGTCATGACCATGTTATAGTTAAAATCGAAAGATCACAAGCTTAGAATCTGCTTAAAAAAGTAATTAGATTCATCTTTATATAGATGCCTGCTATGTTTCTGCCTCTGAAGCTGCATAGAGATTATTTCATTACAAAATGCATAATGAAAAACCTGCATTATGCAGCTTCAAGTTTATCTTCCTGATTAGCACATAATTATTTTTTAAGAAGATAGAAATATAAAAAATATTATTAGTAATTCAAACACAATCCTAACTGCATGGTTTAAGGCAAATGAAAAATATCCTAACACATGTACACTTACTTATGATAATTTTTTTACTAAATGGGTGTTTGATAGTAAACTCAAAGAATAGAAACCAAGACAAAAGAGTAACACTATTGTGTATATGTACTTTATACACTTATGAGCAGAAGAACAGTATTATTTACATATTTTATTAAATATCATTTGAGGTGCAATTTCTTTTAACCATCTCAAAACTGTCAATAATATTGAATATTCTACTTTTAAAGATATATATGAAGTTTTAAGTATGCTTCAGAATGATAATAAATTGGACAAATGTTTAAATGAAGTATAACAAATAAAAACTGGTTCCAGATGCATTATTTATTTGCTGTTATTCTTATGTTTTGTAATTCAACTCATCCTGAATTACTTTGGAACAAATATATTACAGCTTTTAGTAATGATATACTATTCCAATATCACACTAAAGCTGAAAACAATATTAACTATACTTTTACTAAAAACGATGTTTATAATTAGCCCTAAATTAATTAGAATCTATATTACTTGAAAATGGAATAACACTTGTCTATTTTCCATCAATACTGATTTTTACTCCTCTTTCTGAACCTTCTTTATACCAAAATTATCTACTTACTACTGAATTTCAGTATGACATCAAGCTTCTTAAAAATAGAATTAAAGATACTTACATACAATTAACCTCTAAACAGCAGTCTATTTTTGATAAAGTAATTTTAGCAGTAAAAAATCAGACTTCTTCAGCATTTTTTGTAGATAGTCCTGGTGGCTCAGATAAGACATTTTTATAATGCAATATTGGATAAAATAAGATCTACTAGACATATTGCACTTGCAGTTGCATCATCTGGCATTGTAGCTCTATTACTTAAAAGAGGTTGTACTGCTCATTCCTATTTTAAAATCTCATTTGAATTACATAAAGATTCTATGTGTAACATTTTATATAAGACAGAATATGCATTCCTTTTACAATAAACAGATCTTATTCTTTGAAATGAAGCTCCTACGATGAACTGATATAAAGTTGAAGCTGTAAATTGCATCCTTAAAGATTTAATAAAAGCATTAGATTCTTTATTATAACATCAACCTTTTGGTGAAAAAGTTATTGTATTTGGTGAAGATTTTTATCAAATATTATCTGTAATTCCTAGAAGAAATAGAGAAGATATTATAGGCTTCTGTTTATTATATTCTCCTCTATGGCACTATGTTAAAGTAATAAAATTATTATGTAATATGCATTTGCTCCAATCTAAAAGCACTTCAAATAATATTAATAGACATGATTTTGCTGATTGGCTATTACAAATTGAAGAAGATCATGCTAAGAAATTCTCTAACAAAAACAATATTATTAAAATTCTTAATAATATGTATCTTTTTATCATCACAGAATATACATGCTTTAATAAATTTTGTATATCTCAACCTTATATTCTAGGCCAATAATTCTTCTTATTTAATGGACTGCAGAATACTTGCTTCCAAAAATATAGATGTTTTTACTATTAACTCTACTATTTTTGCTTTATATCTAGGTTATGAAATTAAATATTTAAGTGTCGATAGTATTGATAAATTAATAGGAAATAATATTACTAATAAAAATCTATATTCTATTGAATTTTTGAATTCTTTAAATATAAGCAGATTACCCCTACGTAAATTATTACTAAAAATAGATACTCCAGTTATATTATTTCATAATATCACTTTCAGAAGGTCTCTGCAATAGAACCTGGTTAATATGCTGCACTTTTTTACTACATGTTATTGAAGTTCAAATTCTCATAGAAAAGCATACTAGATTACATGTCTTTCTTCCTCAAATTTTCCTTATCTTTTTAAATACTAACTTATTCTTTCAACTTATCTGTTATCAATTTCTTATTCAGCTGACTTTTGCGATAACAATTAATAAGGCACAAGGCTAAACATTAAATTATGTTAGAATTTATCTTCCCACATCTGTATTTTTGCATGGTTACCTTTATGTTGCTTGCTCTAGAACTACTTCTCATCATTCTCTTAAACTACTAATATCTGGTCAATATGTAGAAGCAGGTTATATGCAAAATATTGTATATTCTGAAGTACTACAATAACTCCTAATAATTTTACTTATTATAGTTATAAATTTCTATTATGCATCTTTATTTCTGTATTATTATTAAAATTTTAACATATTAATTATTTACTTTATTTATATTATATACTTTGTATTATTTTAATTATATTATAATAAATTACTTTACTTTTTTAAAAATATCAATTTATCATATGTTTTTATTATTTAATTCTATATGATTCTACTAATTTAAACTAAATAACTTATTAATAACACAATTCAACTCATAAATAATTATTTATTATTCTAATTAATTTACTACTTATAACTTAATTTATTATTTTATAAATTACTTATATGAGTGTTGCCAAATAAAATTCATAAATCTAAAAAATAGATCACTTATTAATTTTATAAGTGATCTATTTTTTAGATTTATGAATTTTTATTTGGCAACACTTATATAATATTGTATTAATATTTCTTTCTTTAGTAAATTAAATATTTATTAATTAATATTATTCTATATTTTTTACTTTTTGCTTTTATCCATACTACTACTTACTCTCAACTTATTTATATATTACATCTAAAAGCTTCTTACAATATTACCTATATCTATTTAAAACTAATACCAATAAATATATTTAACATATTACAAACTAAATTACTAATTTATCTTAATAAGCATTTACTATATAGCTATTTTTACTAATGTTCATTTATATGCTATACTAAGCTAACTATTTTACTTATCTATCTAAATAAATTATAATTATATTTTTATTTATATTTTTCTACTCTTATATAACTACTTAATTTATAAATTCACTTTATTAAATTGAATTATATAATATAACCAACATTCATTCTATGCACTAATATAAAAATTAATTGTACAATAAACTTTAAACTAACCTATATATCTTATAGGTCAAATTACTTTTTAACTTAAATTAAAGCTAATATAGACAAACTAATTAATTATAAAACTCCAATATGCATTAACATAATTCTGCTTGCACTAACTCTAAAATTCTACTAAACTTATTTTGATCTGATTAAATTTAACTTGATCTAAAAACTATCTTACTCTGTAATATATATATGCTAATTTCTTTTGTTTTACACTTTAGTTTATATTTATATATTTCTTTCATTACCAAACATATATTTTATAAGTTTACTTATTTTAACTTTATATTTTAAAATCTTATAGTTTTTTTATCTACTTACTTATGCTTTATATTAATTTATTGTATTATATATAACATAATTAATTTTAACTAAAATATTGTGATCTAAAGCTATGTGATGGGTTAAATACTAGTTTAGTTTAAAAAATAAAGTATTGTTATTTAAATTATAATTTTTTAGTTTTTAGATTTAGGTAATATTTTTAAGTTAAGTTTTAAGTAGTTTAAATCTCAAATCTAAGTTATATTTTAAGATTTTATATGTTTTAAAATTTTTTAACTTTTAGATTTAAGTAATACTTTAAGTTTAAGTTTTAAGTTTTTTAGATCTTAAATTTAAATAATATTTTGTAAATTAGGTTTTAAATTTTTGTATAATTAAATTAAATTTTTTTTTAATTTTTAAATTTGAGTACTATTCTAAATTAAATTTAAGTTTTTTAAAATAATTTTTTAATTCTTAAATTTAAATATAAGTTTTTAGACTAAAAGCTAAATCTTAAAATTTTTTAACTCAAGTTTGTTTATAATTAAATTAGTATTTTTTAATTCTTAAACTTAAATAATGTTCTAAAAGTTAGATTTAAGTTTTTTTTAATATTTATAAATAGATTAATTTAAATTTATATAAAATTAGATTTAATAAAATTAATTTAAATATATTTTAACTTATATTAGATTTATTTAAACTTATATTAAATTTAAATAAGTTTAATTTAGATTTAAATAAATTTAAATTAGATTTAAATAAATCTAAATTAAATTTAAATAAATTTAAATAAATTCAAATTAGATTTAAATAAATTTAAATTAAATTTGAATAAACTTTTTTAGTTTATATTTTTTAGTTTATATTTTTTTAATTTGTATTTTTTTTATTATCATAATCTAAAATAGAATAATTAATAATTTAGTAAAGATTGATTACATAATTAAACAATAAATTTTTTTTTGCTCTTAAGCAGTTATGCTAGTATTTTATTAAGATTCTTGAAACTATATACAATAATTACATAGAATTTTCCTAATAACTAAGTTCAGCATTACCTGACCACCTTATTGGTACCTAAGTGCAACTTGCTGCACTATTCCAATCAAAGATAGACTGCTTATCTGGCTACTTAAAGCCATATCAGAAAGGATTTCTCTCTTTCAGAATAAGCATTAACTGTCTTCAATCCTTTTTTTAAATTCTTTCTTCTTCTCAAAAGACTGAAAAAAGAAGGGTATTATAAAATTAAATACAAATAAGAACACAACTAAAAAAAACTAAAAATAAACAAACAAAACCCAAATCAAAACAAAACAACAAAACAAACATGTAATAATAAGAAAAAGAAAAAACAAAAAGAAAACTGAAGCTCTAGTCAGAACAAATTGTAAAAATTATATAGTACTGTTACTTCTAGTCTTTATTCTAAAAATAGGTCTGTATTATATGTAAATATTGTTCAATGATAGAGATATCGATGTTTAATTTCTTTCACACCAGTTCTATAACTAACCTTTTCACTCTAATTAGAGTTACTTCTAATTCCAGAAAAGATATAATTCTCCTATTTCCAAAATAGATGATTTCTGTAGATCTTTCATAGGGGGTATGCTAAATTCCTACTTTTTGTAAAAACTTTTATCAAAAACCAAGCAAGAAATATGATAGTAGTGTTTGGTTAGCAGATATCCTTGAATTTCTAGTAAATGTGTTAAAAACTTGCTTATTGTTCTTCTATAAGGCTTATTATTTTAACTTCATTAACAAAAGCTAAGACTTTTACTAAAATTTGTTATATAAGAATGCCTTCTGCCAGTTATCTTATATATGCATACTTTTAGTTTACTTACTAAATATATAAAAGAGTCCAATATAGTAGAACTACTTTGACCTTTATAGAAACTGTTATTTATATAGTAGTCTCTTCTACTTTCTCTAATAAGTTTTCTGTTTTTGTTAGTATGAAATTCGGTACAAGTGATTGTCTTAGAAAGTTTTAATTAAACAATAATATATATTAATTAATAAATATAATATATATATAATAT